GGGAAATAAGGTCATTTCTATACAATAGGTGCAAAAAGGAGTATGTTTGGAACCCAGAGTTTTGCAGGGGCACTTCCTAGCATTTTATCATTCAGGGGTTACAATTTATAGAAGGAGATAACAATTGAGGACTGGCAGGAACAATAATGGCTCAGACCCTTCAGGGAAAAGGGTGTGGATCATCCCACCACTTGGAGAAACTAAGAACAGAGAGGAGTAGAGGTGCTGGCTGAGGGCACAGGACCCTGAAGTCGACTGCCAAAGAGAAAACGGTATGGCTTCCTGACTAGCTGCAGAAACAAGGATTACCATGCTATGCGTATTTTCTTCTCTGCTTTGTTATGCATGCATTTGTGTATCTTAGTTCCTTTCCACCACCACCCTCCCCACAAACCAACGTGTTATATAAGATGTGTTGGAGGTGGAACTTTTAAATTTTGTCTTCAAGTTACAAAAAATGAAAGGGGCATGTGACTGGACTAGAAAACTAAACATTTCTAAGACATGGAGGGTGAATGGTGAGATTATTTTTCTCCCCTTTATGAGAATAAATTTTCATATCTTCTCAAAGAGATGCTCCCTGATTACTCTGTCTAAAGTTAGCCCCTACCTGTTATCAATCTATTTGTTTTATCATTTCCTAGACTTGTTAAAATTCATTATGACTTTCTTTCTTTGTCTGAGCATTATTCTTTATTGGACTATCTTACTGACAGGGAAGTTTCAGAAATAGTATCTGTATCAAATTTATATATTCTCATTTAGCACAGTACCTGACTTAGTAAGAGCTCAGTAAATACTTGTTGATTGAATAAATAAACTGGCAGCAGTAGGAATGGTGGGTGGGTGGGTTGTTTAGAAGGGATTTAGGTCCGATCAGTTCTCTACACAGCAGCTTCTTAAACCTGAGTGAATAAAATAACATAAAATGAAATAAAATGAAATGAAATGAAATAAAATAATAAAATAAAATAAAATAAAATGAAATTAAAAAGTGCTTTAAAGTCACAATATCTTGATTTTTAGAGTGAAGTTTTAAAAAAAATTCTTCTAAGTTTCTCCAAAATTCCTTTGCTGTATCAGAGGAGATAAGTGTGTGTTGCCCAGTTTGGTAAATGAAGACATCAACATTGAAGATGTATAATACAGCAAATATTCCTTGAGTATCCATGGTGCGTCACTGGGAACACTGCAGTGACCAAGCCTGATAGAGCTTCTGTACCTTGAGGTTGACGTTTTAGTGATGAAGGGTACAGGCAATACATTGGTTAACACATAAACACATAAGATAATTGCAGCTGGTAAAAATGCTCTAAGAAACAAAACAAAACAAACTGATACAATAGAGTGCCCTGAGGGGGCAGTACTTGGAGTTAGGAAGTCAGGAAGATTTTTCTCTGAAGCTGGCATCTGAGCTGAGATCTCAATAACAAAAAGAAACAAACCACATTGAGATTTGAGAAAAAAGCCTTGAAGCTCCTGGAAAGTCGATGTGCTTGAGCACAGTAGGTAAAAGGGAAGAGGTAAGTGACAGGGCAGGAAGACACCTAGGATCTCACGGGGTCTTGAAGCCATGCTAACGTGTTTGGATTTTATCTTAATGTGATACGAATTCATTGGAGAACTTGAAACACAAAGTCATTATTTTGGTCAAATATGTTAAGGATGACCAGTTAACCGCATGCAGTTTTCTCCTCTTATTACAATGACTTGGCTGAAATAATAGTAAAGGAATATAAAAGGCATCAAACTTTAAAAATAATGGCAAAAGGAGAGGAGACAGCAGGAGCTAAAGCACAACCGCATATTTTTGGAAAATGGAAGCAGATGGACAGTGAAATGGTTACTGATTTAGATAGAAGCAGGTAATTATAACCTAAAGTATGTGCAGAGAATACCAAAGAGGAGTTAAGTCAACTTCACTGCCCAGGACTTGAAGTTATGAAGTACCATGGAGAACGGGGTGGGGCCAAGGCCTAGAAATAAGGGATTGGATGCAAGTTTGTATAATATATGAAGCTATTAGTTTCCAGATGCCCATGCCCAGTCTTGCATCAAGATAATGACCTCTATGATCAAACAAGGAACGTGTATTCCATGGGGAATTTGAATTTGAGTGGTAAAGGAATCAGGGACTCTTGGCAGTGTGAAGGACAGGTATGTGCAGCTTAGGGATAATAATGGGAGATTAATCTAAGCCCTGCAAATTGAGTAGGGTAATTCCCACCCCTTTTACCAGCATACATGTTGCATACATGTTGGTCTATACTCCAGAAGCAAGAAACTCAAGGAAGTTTTTCTCGGAAGAAAATGAAAAGCCCCAGAGCATACGTTCACGTAATTCTCTGACTATTCAGCCTACAGTGAAGCCCACCACTTGATCAGTCCTGACCATGGACTCAGTATGGTTTCCAAGCACTATTAAATATAAAATAGTAGATGATAACAACTGAACATTTGAAAACAGCCATATGTGTGTGTGTGTGTGTGTGTGTGTGTGTGTGTATACACACACATGTATATATGAGAGATGAAAGGCAACAAGAGAAAATCCTGCAGGAAACAGAGATAAAAAGAGCATAATTATTTAAAAAAAATCTTTAATATCATTAGGAAGATAAGATATTGCATATCTAATCAGGAAACTATAGGAAAGAAACCAACAAAGGAAAACAACTAAATTAAATTAAAAATATAAGAAAACAATTTTAAAAAGTATTTTAAAATATATAACAAAAAACACAATAATGGAAAAAGGAAGAGAAAGGACAAGACTTGGAGGATCAGGGTGTATAATATCTAATTCAGAATATTTAAGGTAGCCAAGAAAATGCAGGAGAAGATATTATGAAAGATATTATCCAAGAACACTTCTTCCAATTAAAGGACATGAATCTTTGGGTTGAAGAATTCCTAAGGGGCTGAATAAAAAAGCCCTATTTCAGGACACACCATCATGACATATAAGAGTACCATGGTAAAGAGATTTTTAGAAGATTCCAGAGAGAAGAAAAAAAAAGAGATTACAAAGGAACAATGTTTAACACTAGCCAACTTTTCAAAAGTAATCCTGCCACTGAAAATAGGCAAGGGAGGAATGCTGACAAAGTAGCAAAGAAAATTATTCTTAACCTAGAATTTCAATCCCAAACAAATTATTAAGCTTGATCATAGAATAAAATTATTTTCAGACATTCAGGTCTGCAAGTTCTCAAAAAATTACTCACATACATAAGTAAAGCACAAGATTAAAAAAAACTATCTAGCTTTAGAATATAAAAAATATTTAAAAGAACAAATAATGAAAACTGTGATAACTTGTTTGATCAGAATACAGAAAATAGCCCCAGCTGGGTAGCTCAGTTGATTAGAGTGTCATCCCAATACACCAAGGTTGTGGGTTCGATCCCAAGTCATGGCACATACAAGAATCAACCAATGAATGCATACATAAGTGGAACAAAATATTGATGTTTTTCTCTCTCTCTTACTTCTTCCCTCCCTCCCTCTGTCTCTCTCTAAAAATAATAAATAATAACAATAAAATAACATTACTCTCCTGAGAGAAGGAGTAGGGGTGGGGAATGGCAGTATAGCAGCCCCCGCTCTTCACCAACCATGCCTAGACAGAAGCCAGTAGATAATATCTAAATTCATAAATTAAGAAATAGAAATCATATTATTCAGAAGTGTGGAGGTTAACAACAGAAAATAAAACAAGAAAATAAGGGTTAAGGGATGACATAAGGAACTGCTGTTTTTCACTGAAGTTTTTAGATACTATCATATATTTTAAAAATATGTGAATATATTATTTTGACCAAAAGTAAACAAAATTTAAGGGAAGAGTTGGTTGTGACAGGGTAGAACTAGATTGTGGAGAGGCGGGAATGGACGTAAGCAGCTATTTCAGCGGTCCGAGTGAGAGATCCAAGTGGCTTGGATTACAGTGGTGGTGGACAGAGGGGGAAGTGGGCAGACTTAGAATGTGTGATGGAGCTAAGTTAATTTACTGAGATACTGGCTGTGGGGTGTGAGGAAAAGAGAATTATCAAGGATGATGCCTAAGACGGTGGAGGGTGGTGCCCCTTGTTAAAGTAAATAAGCCTGAAGAAGAACTCAGTTTGTGGATGCATCAATGAAGATCTCTGTTTCGTGCATGTTGTTTGACATTCCCATCCAAGAAGAGTGTCAGAGAAGCAGACAGATGAAGTTTTGGGTTGAGCTGTGTTCCCCCAAAAGATGTGGAAGTCCTAGCCCCCAGTACTTGTGAATGACTTTATTCGGAAATAGGTTCTTTGCAGATGATCAAGTTAAGTAAAGGTTATGGGGGTGAACCTTAATTCAGTATGAATGTGTCCTTATAGAAGGGGGAAATCTGGACACAGGGCCAGACACACATAGAGGGAAGATAGTGTGACGGCAGGGAGAATGCCATTTACTAGGCCAAGAGTGTCTCAAATTACCAGAAGACGGGAGAGAGAAATGTGAAAGGCTTGCCCTCACAGGTCTCTGAAGGAGGCACTCCACTCATGTGGTTTTTGGACCTCTGGACTCCAGCACTGTGCGACAATGAGTTTCTGTTGTCCAGGTCACCCAGGTGGTGGCACTTGTGACAGCAGCCCCAAGAAGCTGAGATACATAGATACGCATCCGGTGATTTGGGGAGATGAAAGGGTGAAGGTACACATTTTGGAATCACATGCATTTAAGTAGCATTTAGAACCATGTGAGTGGGAAATCACTTCAGCAGTGAGTGCAGATGGCTAAGATGATCAAGTTCAGGAATCAGGATTGAGGCTAGAATGCTCTCCGGTTGAGAGATCGAGCAGAGGGGGAGGAGAGAATGAATGGCTGGGGAAGGAAGAGGAAACCAGGAGAATGTGGTGTCATGGAAACCAAGAAAAAATGGTTTTTTGTTTTGTGTTGTTTTAAGGGGGAGTGGACAGCTGCTCAGGTGACAAGGTGAAGACAAAAAGAGGTCACTCTTAGAAATGCCAGACTCATCATTGGCTTGAGAATGACACTCTCCTCTGTTTGAAGAAGGTTGAGGATGGAATCGGGGGTGAGGAGGTGAGGACACTACCTAGAGAGAGCTCCTGTGAGGTGAGTTGCCGTGAAGGAGATCAGAAAACAGGGTGGTGGCTAGAGGAACTCACGGAGTCAGAGGAGCAGTCTCAAATGATGGGAGGCAATGGTGACAGACGAATTATCTTTGTGAATGTTGAGCGACAAGGGTAGGTGAAGAGCAATCTTAAGGGAGCTAAAATCCTCAATAAAAGCTCTGCCAAGGAGAGATTAGTAACAAAAAACAAGGAGAAGAAGTAGATGAGTGGTCTGATGGCATATCAAGGGAGTGAGGGTTTTTGAGAAAAGAAGGAAAAGAAGGGACTTAAAAACCACAATGTACTCCCACTCCAGGCTCCTGTGTACGGAAATGCAGGAAAACAAAACAGCCTCCTCCGAGAAGGCTGCGAGTGTGGTCAGAGCACGTAACTGGCACTGGCCCCACGCAGGACAGCTGTGGGCATTTTACATTTGTCATTTTAAACACACTGCCCTGGTCATTTTGTTATTTTACTTTTTTTTTTTTCTTTTCCTTTAAAACAGCTGCCCAACTAGTATACATATCTGGACTCCAAAAGCCTGGATCCACCCTTGCTGGAAGGAATGGGTGCGGTAGAATGGCAGATTGTTTCAGTTAGTTTAAGAGAGTCAAGAGAGCATTCAGAGAAAACGTTGACGAAATAGGGGAATTTGCCAGTGAGGCACGGTGAGAATCGGAGAGTCTACTGCAAAGGTAGAGAGAATCAGCTCCCCAAGGGACTTACAGGTTACCCTCTGTAGAGAAAAGAGGAACACGAATCTTCAAGGTTTCTCCTTCATTTCCTTCATGCACGTTCCATTTGAAAACTAGGCTTGCCCCCCATGTCACTTTCCTTGAGTATAGTAGTTCCCTTGGTCTGCAGGTTGAAAGACGATACAAAAGATGAAAATAAAAATAAGCCACCGATACCTTCAGTTCTTGGTGTGGGTAAAGATTTCTTAAGCAGGGCAGTAAAGGTGCTAATTTAAAGGGGAAAAGTAATAAATTGATCTGCACTAAAATTAATAGCTGCCATTAAAAGACACCATTATCAGACTGAAAAAGCAAGCCATGGATTAGAAGATACTATTTGTAATAGTATAGTAATCAAAGGCTTGCATGAAGATTTATAAAAAGCTGCTATCTATGGTTTGTTTCGTTCTAGTCTTTGTTTTATGCATACATTTTTGTTTTATTAAGGTTTCTGCTTTATTTTACAAAAACGGGATCCTACTGTGCATTTCAGTGTGTCTCCTGCCCCCTCACTCAGTTTAGTAGTATATTACAAGTAATCAGATCTTAGAACTCTAAGGCACAAATAAAACCATTTAGTCTAACCACTTTTTATGTCAATGTCATTTTGTTTTTTTATAATTGACATATGACATGATATCAGTTTCAGGTGTACAACATAATGATTCAACATATGCGTGTATTTCGAAGTAATCACAATAAATCTAGTTAACATCTATCACCACAAAAAGTAACAAGTTTTCTTTTTCTTTTTTAAAATGTTTTTATTTATTGATTTTAGAGGGGGGAGATATTGTTTGATTCCACTTATTTATGCACTCATTGGTTGATTCTTTTATGTGCCCTGACCAGGGATTGAACCCCCAACCTGGTGTATTGGCATGACGCTCTAACCAACTGAGCTACCTGGTCAGGGCCTTTTTTATTTTGATGACAACTTTTAAGATCTACATCTCTGCAGCTTCCAAATACACATTATAGCTATAGCATTTTGTTAGCTATAGTTACCATTCTGCACATTACACACCCAGGACTTATTTGACTTATAACTGAAAGTTTATACTTTTTCACCACCTTCCTCAAATTCTTCCTCCTCCCAACCTCCACCTCTGTCAACCAGCAATCTGTTCTACATTTCTTACACAGTCCTGGGGCACTGAGAGGACTTGCTCAGGATTACACAGCCAGCTGATACTGGTGGAGTGGTTTGTCCTGACTCCCCCACCCACTGCCCCTCATCTTGGGAGAGAAGGTCCTACACAGGGCCTTGCATTAGTCCTTTGCGCTCACCCCAGGTTGTATCCAAATGGGTGCCTGCTTCTTTTAAAACAGTATTTGTGAAAGTAAGGTTCATAATTTATTTCACTAGCTCATTTTTAGGGGTGTCCAGATTCCTGTAGGGATAAATTTTGATGAATTATAATGTCCCTTTATCCCCAGGATGAAAAAGAAAAAACTCTTCAGGAGCAAGCAGGAAGAGAAACATTCACTGCTAAGAAGGTTCAGGTTGCAAACTTCTCTTGCTTATTTATTGAGGTTAAAAGTTAAACTGGATTAGGACAATCATATTTTTCTGACACATTGACTTCTTCTTAAGAAAACATATTCAGCTTTTTTTTTTCATGAATCATTTCAGTAGAAGAGCCAGAAGTTATGTTCTTACGCTGAGTAGAAACACTGAAGGCCCCTTTGTGAGGAATTTAGCTTGCTACATGTATTTATTTGGTGCTTTTTTTTTTTTTTTACCTCTGGGCTAAATTTTGACTTAAAATTTATGCATAGAGCCAGAGGAAAGGCATTTGGGCTCATTTTTGTAATTTTCCACAGACAAAATTAGCACCAAATTTATGGGCCCGATAGCACTGCTCTCTAAACTGCGGCCAGAAAGGCTTTCTCATTGTTGTTACCGCTTCCTTCTCCCCAGGTTCCCTCCAATTTCTCTTCCTCCTGGTTCCCAGGATCTGGCCTAATTTGTGCTGGTGAGGAAGGAAAAAGAGGGCTGAGACTACCCTCAAGAGGTGCCAACGTTCAGAAGAACAACAATGCTGTATTAAGAAATATCCCCTCCAGCCCTGGCTGGTATGGCTTGATGGATTAAACACTGGCCTGTGAACTGAAAGGTCACTGGTTTGATTCCCGGTCTGGGCACATGCCTGGGTTGCAGGCCAGGTCCCTGCCTGGTTATGTGTGAGAGGCAACTGATTGATATATCTCTTGCACATCGATGCCTCTCTCCCTCTCATTCTCCCTCCCTTTCCCTCTCTCTAAAAATAAGTAAATAAGCCCTGGCTGGTGTGGCTCAGTGGATTGAGCACTGGCCTGTGAATCAAAGGATGGCTGGTTCAGTTCCCAGTCAGGGCACATGCCAGGGTTGTGGGCCAGATCCCCTGTAGGAGACATGCAAGAAGCAACCACACATTGATGTTTCTCTCCTTCTCTTTCTCTTTCCCTTTCCCTCTGTTACTAAATAAATAAAATCTTTTTAAAAATAAATAAAAACTAAAAAAAAATAAATCTCTCCTTCAAATGGATTGTCATAACATGTGGCCTTTTATTATTCTACGTGGGCCCTTCTATTTACAGAGGTCACAATCTCTGTAGAAATTTTCAGTTGTTATTATCTGATAGCTTCAGGTATGAAGCAAACTTTCCATTTAGGTTTTTATTGGAATATGAATATTACTGTCTTCTGCACAGAGAATTAAATTTTAAACTCACCTAACCAAAAGTAGCCAAAAATTACTTACCATACCATTTCCCCTTCATAATGGGGAGATGGGGAGAATTATTGTTTTTACTCTGATTGTAAATAACTTAGGAAATACAGACACATATAAGGGAGAAGGTGAAATTCTATATAATACCACCACTGAAAGAGGACTGTTGACATAATTTCAGTATATCTTACTATAAACATTATTTTTTATAACATTTTAAAATTAAATGTCAATTGACCTTTTTGAATGTCCATAAATATACCTACATCATTAATAATAATATTTTATCTATAAATGTACCATAGTTATTTAACTAATTCAGTACTGATAGACAGTTGACTTTAATTTCTGCCAACGTGTGAAACCCTGTGACAAGTATCTTTGTGTATAATACACTGTGCTTTCTTCAACCAGTTCCTAAGGAGTGATCCTTTGAAGGGGGATTTCAAAGATCTCTATGTCACTAAGGCTTCTAATGCAAATTCCAAATTTCTGTGTAGAAATGTTTTACTGATTTATGTGCTTACCAGCAGTGTGTAAAAGTGACTCATTTCCTTCATCCTCATCAATATAGACGTTCTCACCCTAAAAATCACTCCTCAGTCTCCTGGGTAACAGTGTGCCATCTCATTGTTACTTAATTTGAATTTCTTTATTAAGCGGGTTGAATATCTTTTCCTTATTCTCCACCTTATGATATAAATTCTCATTTCCAATCTGTGCACACTTTTTCTATGGGAGGCAATGGATTTGTGAGAACTCGTGCATTAAGTGGAGTAATCTTTTGTTCATCATGTATTTTATCTAGTCTGTCTCCAGATTGTGTTTATGGGTGGATTTCGTTCTACAGAGGATGTCATCTTCTGTAGTCAAATCTATAAATCTTTTTCATAATAATTTCTGCCTTGGGTATCATATTCAGAAAGGTCTTTTAAACTAATTTTAAAAATAAACACATACACAATAGTCTCTTTTTACACTCAGTGATGGAAAATATTAACAGATTAATGGCAGAAGTGTCTCTGGATTAACAGAGAACTTCAGGATGAATATTTTTTTAAGCAGAGAATTTACATAAATTTTTACCCATGGGGATTTACTTATGGCAAGTTGATGAAAGACAAAAACATCTTTAATTCACAATTACTTTGTGATCATAATTCCCTAGAGCTCATTAGATGTAAAATAATCTACATTTTGCTATTTGGCATTGACAGCTACCTACTCCTTCCATCTGTCTCTATTCCATGCCAAGAGATTCATTTTGTTTTCTTTGTGAGTAATAGTTCAATGGAGGTAAGGCTGAGTAAACAAATAATATTGAAAAGCATTATGCTGAAAGATGTATTAAAAGTGATATAGTGATATCATAGTAAAAATTAATATATTCATACTCCATAAACTAATGTTTGAATTAATGATTATTTCCATAACTTATTTAAATTACAAAAAGAAATCTATTTGAATTTTCCCACAAGCTATAATTAATACAGATATTTCCATTTTTAATGGGAAAAAGCATAATCCTAGTTTCTCCCCTTTCTTGGAAATATTGTAAATTTTATAGAAATGCTAGGGAGGTGGGGACGAGAAGGAACATAACTAGAGGGAAGAGGAAGAGTAGTCTGCACACTGGATATTTCCCATGTCACATTTTTAAATTCTACGCAATGTACTCATCTCTAGGGTACAGGACTTCAGAGTTCAAAATGTTCAAAATAAGCTAAGTTTTTAACACTGATAGTATTTTGGAAAAAAATAGCTGTATAATATTTAGATTTTAAAAAAGTCCCTTCAGGAGAGAAAATGGAGACAACTGTATTTGAACAACAATAATTTTTTTAAAAAAAAATCACTCTATAGTCAATTAAAGTATCTCTCATCTTTTTGAGAGGAACTTCAAAAAATTCCAGGGCTTGGCATGAGCCTACTTAATGTCCAACTTCTCCACACCACCCTAGGCCCCCATGGCCCTGCCCACCCATGAAATGGGCACAGGTTTCCATTCGCTTTGGTCCTGTAAGTCTTTCTTTTTTGCTTTAGCTCTATTGTAACTCAATAATAAAGTGTTCACTTGAAAATCTCTTTTGAAAACATTCCATAGTCTGAGTGCCAATCTGTATAATTTACTCAGGTTGTAGGCAAAACATTCAATACCTTTTATTGCTTTGCATCTAACCTGTGTTCTCAGGAAAATTCAAGTGCAAAACGCATTACATAGGATGACTGTACTTACTGTCCAAACTTGGATACCTTTATGAGTGAAGGAAATGTAGGACTCGTTAACTAACTAAGCCAGAATAACAGGAATAAACTGGAAGTGTCCCACGGAAAGCAGAGCAAAAGATGACCCTGTTTAGAGAAAGATTGTAAGTCATCATGTTTGAATATTGTCATAACTGAATCTAAACTCTTTTTGAGTTTGCTTATTTAGACCCACCTCTAAATGTTCTGATACCCTAAAGAAAGAGGATATAGAGTCTACAACTAATGTGGCTAACTTTTATTAAATTTCAGGCCTTGTAGTGCCTGTTCCCAATCAGATATAGTTTCTTCCTTTTCTTTTTTTCATGAGGTTGAGAAATGGCAGCTAAAAAAAAAATAACATGGAAGATTTATAGGACAACACCTCCATCTACAAAGGCTTTTAAACATGTGTTTATGTTTTTTAATCTGTATGTTTACCTGTTTTTGATGATTGTGAATGTTTGTAAGCCTCTAGTTAAGGAGTTACTGGGTTAGAATTCAGTTTGTGTAGAGTAAGTGTAAAAAGCAATAATAGCTAATGAGTAGTATACCAGGGTTTGAGTAAGCAGATAAACATAGTTAGTCATTCTACATCTATTATCTTTAATCCTTATAAAAACCCTATAAGGTGCCATTAGCCCCATTTTACAGATGGAGAAAATGAGGTTCACTAGCTTTCTTAAAGTTACAAGTTGGGATGAAACAGAACCACCGTCTGAACACAAACCCCATGACGTTTGTTTGTTTCTCTCTTAAGACCCAGAGCTTGCCACTATTTCATCTTCATCATCATCTCAAATTTTCTCTGGGATAATTAAAGACCTATAATCATAATATAACCTTATGTATCTCTTCCAACAAATATAAATGTTATTTATGTTGTCTATGGTCTCCCGGTCTGCCTGTTATGCTTACTTTGCCAACATGCGTAACTAAACAGAATTACAACAGCCTGCCAGAACCGATGGTTGTGTACCAATGGCAGGAGCAATATTACTGACTCATCTAGCCACAGTAGTTTTGGAGGTTATGATGGACTAAAATACAACAGTGTTTTCCTAAAATAGATTAGAGCTCTGTTTGTTTAATCTCCCAAAATGGCTGTGGTAGCCAGTTTAAGCCACTTCTTAAGTGGCTCTGTCTATTGTACCCCCTGGCCATACCATCCCCATTTTTCTGCGCCAGGTTTAGATAATAAATAATAACCCCTCCCTGATCACTGTGAAAACTGTTCATAGGAGCACAGCCTGCCATTGATTATACATGTCAACAATGCCTTTGCTAATGAGACCTTCCTTGGTGTCTTTGTAACTGGGAGGAAGGCAAAATCAGAGCCTCTTCCTATGGGAGCCAAGGCCCAGGAATACTGGGACTGTTAGCCCTGAAAATTCTAGCAACTGTTACGTCCATTCCTAGTAAGGCTGACCTGCAGTCCACCTGCTAAGACATTGCAGAGTCACTCTGAGGTGCAAGGGGATGTGCTCCTGCTTCAAGGCATTCTCAGTCCACTCTCCTGAGGGCAAACGTGGAGAAGGTCTGTCTCCACTAGTTACCTTCTACTGTCCCACAGAATTCAGCATGCTGGGCTGAAGCGTGTACTAGAACAGGTTCCAGCTGTATTTCTCTTCTAATTTAACCATTCTCCTTTCTATAAAGATACCAGTGTTCTCCTGATTCTAGAAAACAAAACCAAAGCAGAACCCCACAAAAATCTCATATTTATTTAGCATTGCCTATCATTCAAATTCTTGCCCTGTCTCTAGCTCTTTTATTGATGTCATGCAGTTTAAACTTTATTTTTAAATCTTCTTAATGATTTTTTTTTAATTCAAAACAATCCCAGCCTTTTAGGAAATGGTCAGACAGAGTATAAAGTACTTTTTCTCTCGGAACCACTTGAGAGTAAGTTGCCTACATCATGCCCTGTTACCTCTAAATATTTACCATCTGGGACAGAGACTTCAATGGTGTTCCCTGTCTGTATTCCCCACAGTGAGAAACCACGCCGCCTTATCCACAGTTCTGCCATAGGATGTGCATAACTCAACTTTGTTAGCCAATGCCAAAGTCTTCTCCAAAGAGGATGTCGGGATTTCTGAAATAATTGTGTGTCTTCCACCTTCTTCATTAACTAATCTTTCTTTCTTTAAACCCTATCAAGCTGGCCTTACTCCTGAGGCTCTGTAGAATGGGACCCTGTGAAGATGGTTC